GTGGGTGCAGAGTCTTGTGGATCCAGTGGCAGTAGAGGCATCTCAGCGCTGGCAGGGGTCTCCAGGTGGCTCCTTCAGCTCCAGGGTTCTAATGTAGCTCCATGTGTCCTGTCAGCAAGCATGTCTCACAGGCAGGGTGTGTCCCACCACCAGCGAGCTATTTATCTCCTTAGCGCCTCCAAATGAAGTCAGCAAGCTGCGATCTGATTGACAGGTTAAACTCTACCCCTTCACTCGTATGCCTCAAATTGACAACAGATTATGTAACTACCACTGAGGGCATGGGTGGGCCCCATGCATGCGATGGAGAGGAGAGTCTCTAACTCGGCTAGTTGGAGAAAAGAGGGGCTCCACCTTGGCCTATGGGAGAAGAGAGAAACGGAGGAGCCACAGCGGTTTGGGCTGAAATGGGTGCCCTGCATGACATTGTACTCTGCTCTGGGGAGGGAGGGTTGTGCCCATACGGAAGGGATTTGCTGTCTAGCTCCACTCATAGGATTGGGAGCACATCATGACTTACTCCACTGGGTGCCACCAACCCTAAGGAAGGCAGTGGATGGTTATCTTTTCAGAGAGATTATCCGATTCATTTTGGCTAAGTGAAAATCAAAGCTCTGAGATTCAAAAAGGTGCAATCATGTGTAACCTGGGTATTGAATTTTGTGTCTGCGACCAATGAATTAATTATTTTCTATGTGAATTTTGGGGCATGGTTCTGCTCGGCATAAATTTTCTTTTGGAGTTAGTATGGTCAAAGGTCCTTTCTCAATTCTTTTCTTCTTTATTAAAGGATCATTTTATTGGGAGCTCGTTCAGCTTTTTTAACAATCCACACATCAATTTTATCAAGCATATTTGTACATATTCAATTATCTTTAAAACGTTATCTTTTTCTGTTCTTTCCCTCTGCAAACTCTTAATACCTACCTTCATACCAATGATTTGTAACGTAATTGTATAGTAGTTTGTGTTTTTTCTTGAACTGTTCCTTTGGCTTTATATAGTAATAATGGCATTAATTACTCATGGCAGTGTCCCAATGGTAAAATGAATGAATGAATACCTCCTTCTTGGTATATATATATCATCAATAGGTTTTGAAAGAGCATTCATTGTATGAATCATCTGGAATTATTTATCTTAGAAGGGTAGATTTCATTTGATAAGGCAGCTTTCTAGTAATCTTGAGATCTTTTACTTCATGTTTATTATAACCAGATGTTTAGCAGGTCAAAATTGTTGATGTTGAAAAAATAACTGCCCCTTTCATATTTCCTTTTTCTTTTATTTTTATCTTTGGAAGAGAAACATCCATGGTTTAATCTGTAATTTACATGGTCCAATCTTGCATCCTTGGCACGGCACTCGCTAAAAGGAACCAGCCTGTGTGAAATCAAATATTAAGATATTTGGAAAGAGAATCTGTCTAGGAGATAAGTTTAATCAAAAGTTTGTTTTCCCTCTATTCCATTCTTTTGACTCCTAGCTATCATTAAATTCTACGCACATTTACTTGGAAATACAATTTAAATAACTTTGTGATTTTCAAGAAATGCCAACAACTTATGTAGGAGATCATGATAAGTAATTTTACTTGGAGTTGAAAAGGGGGATTGGCGGAGGGAGAATCATTTTCTAAACATTAGCTTTTTCCTTTAAATGAGACTCTATTTGAAGAATTTAAATACATTTTCCTATAGGGCTCCTTTTCAGGAGACGCAGGTAGAATTTGTGAAAGTAGGTACTCATTTCAGAACAAAAAACAAACTGCCCCTCCCTCCCAGTGTGACCATTTGAGAATATGTACTCAACTGAGCCCTGGAGGTGAAGTGGTTAAAGCCCCTGGCTGCTAACCAAATTTTGGTGGTTCAAACCCACCAACCAGCCACTCTATGGTGAAAAGATATGGCAGTCTGTTCTTGTAAATATTACAACCTCAGATACGCTATGAGTAGTTTCTGCTCTGTCCTACAGTGTTGTTATGTGTTAGAATCAACCTATAACAACACTGAGGTTTTCACTTAATCAACTAGAATGAAAAGCCTACCATTAACCTCTCCCCCTTTCTTCCTTTCTCCTCTCTACAGGTCACCTACCTGGGTAAAGTCCCCACCACAGGCTTGCAGTTTTCATCCGGCTGCACAGAAAAGCCAGTCATTGAGCTCTGGAAGAAACACACGCTAGCTCGAGAAGATGTCTTCCCAGCCAATGCTCTCCTGGAAATTCGGCCCTTCCAAGTGTGGCTCCATCACCTGGACCACAAAGGCGAGGCCACTGTCCACATGGATACCTTTCAGGTGGCCCGTATTGCCTACTGCACGGCCGACCACGCCGTGAGTCCCAACATCTTCGCCTGGGTATACAGGGAGATCAACGATGACCTGTCGTACCAGATGGACTGCCACGCTGTTGAGTGTGAGAGCAAGCTGGAGGCCAAGAAGCTGGCCCACGCCATGATGGAGGCCTTCAGGAAGACTTTCCATAGTATGAAGAGTGATGGCCGAATCCACAGGAACAGCTCCTCTGAAGAAGCATCCCAGGAATTGGAATCTGATGACGGCTGAATGAACTTAGAGAGCTTTAGCCGAGGCAGCAATGGTCAAGAAATGGAAGTTGATAGATGAGATATCAGTGATTCAAATTTGGGATGAAAAGACTGCCAAACTCTTGGCCAATCATGCTTTTTAAATTCAGAAGAGCAATTCTAAATCAAAAGAAATGTATCATTAAAGTAATTGCGTTGCATTGAAATCTGCTGCTGCTGTGACTATAAGGAGGGTGGGCATGTGGATGGGGAGAAAGGCTCTAGACTCCCTTCCTCTTTTTCTTCTTCTTCTGTTTCCTTATTTCCCAGTGCCTCCCTGTGGAGACCCCCATGCTGACGTTCACCACTCTCAGGCAAATACTCTGCGGCTGTCATTTGATGAATTGTTCCAATTTGCCTTATGAAACCCAACAAGAATGTTAGATGCACCTATAGGATCCCTGATGGGCAGTTGGAGATGTTGATGCTGATGCGGATGCGGATGCGGATGCTGGTGTGGAGGCCTCAGGGCTGAGAGAATGCCTCTGGATGCTTCTTTAAAGCCCAGACCCATGGCATGTCTCCTGAATCTGGGAACGAGCACAGCCATTATTGAGCTTTACAACTAACAGTCCAACACTTGGCAGTTAATTCACAGTTGAAGACAATGCTTTTATCGCATAACTGTATCAAGTAGTACCCTTTTATTGTATTCATATCATCTATTTTCTTAGGAGACTTGCAACTACTAACCACCCCTCCCCTTCTCCTGCCCTCTCCATCCTCCTTCCCATCCCAGCCCATGCCAGTATCCCTTGAGAGATGGATTCTCCACTTACCCTACAGGACACCCAAAGGGAAGAAAATAACCAAGCAAATAAAATCAACAGTCCAACCAACCGGCTGTGGCAACAGGAGCTCTGGAGAATAGAAAATGCGTTTTCAAATAATTGGGCAAATTCCCTGCACGCTGCCCTTTTCTCAGCCCAATGTCTGGAAACCTCCCTATCTGATGGTCCTGGCTGATGAGCGCTTCAAGGCCAGCTTCGCATTTGGTGTTGAGTGTGACCCTGAATCCCTTGCCACCATCCCTCCATATTGCACTCAACTTAGGCCATCACTTCTCTGCACGTGGCTTGTCTGAAGGAGCAGGAAGATCTTAAAGGGAAATCGGACCAGCTCACCTTAAAATTGGAGAGATTTTAGAGGTCAGAGCTGCCAGTGTGGTCACGATTTCTAAGGAGACGCTCTCCTTCCATAAGCCTGAGATTTCTGACTTTGATGGATCGCTAGATGTCCTATGTGCAAAGAGTCAGCATTGACTGTAACAGAAAGCATTTGTTCAAACGCACACACTTATGGCTGACAGCAGATGACTGGTTTTGCAGGGAACGCTGCTCCTGTCTCAAAGTCTGTTTCGACTCCTGGTGATGGTAGGGGCACTGCAGCACCTTACAGTAGCCTTAAATGAGAGCTAAAGGAATCCAGAGAGATGTGGTGTCCGTGTTTGGTCTGTGTATCTGTGTGTCCATGTATGTGCCTGTGTGTGCACCTGTCCCTCCCCTCTCCCCATATGTGGGTCCCATGTTAAGGCATGTAGAATAAGCATGGAGTTGTACTGAGAGGACTCACCTGTTGAAGATATGCTTGTTGCTTTACAACATATGTAAACCCTTCTATAGCGTAAAAGCATTCACTTTTAATAAAAAAGATGTTTGAATTAATAACGCTGAAGATGCTCAACATTTCTATGTCTTTCTTTTCTTATTTTTTGTAAGTCAAAGAAACCTGAAGATCCAAATAGATCACATTAAATAAATAGGATAATTCTGTCTCAAAAGATTTTTAAGCTTGGTCACAAATAACTCCTTCCCTGATTGGCATGTGTGTGCATGCTTTTAAATTTTTTCAATCTTCCTTTCTGTTTATTAAGGCTCAATTTATTTTTAATTGCCATCTTCATTAAGATGTAGAGTATCAACAGTTGAAATCATTATTCTGCTCAATTTATCGCAGAGGAGAGTCTGCCTAAATATAATTCTAAGGATGCCTGTTTACAAAGTTTTGTGTACACCCTTGGAGAGCCTCCCCTGAAAACCGTAGGAAGAAAACACAGAGCAATTTGTTCTGACAGGACTAGTTAAAAATAGCTCCTCCTGGCCGCGATTTCTCAGAAGAGTCCCATTCATCAAGCAGGACAACGTGGGGGCAGAGGCGGGGGGCTGGACATGATGGTTGGGAGTCCACAGTTATAACATTGCCCTTCACAATGCTAACGGCTCCTAGATGGAGAATGTAGGTGACCGTTCAGCAGATGACCTCAAGCAAGAATTATTACCTCACTCCTCTGATTGAAATGGCTTTTCTCTCAAGTCGACCTTTTCTCAATTTCAATTTTCCTCTGTTGTCCTTGAACCTACTTCTAAGAAGGACTAGGGGAGCAATAGAGAAGATGGGGGTTTCTTGAAACACACTATCATTTTCCTCTTGAAGTTACTGTTGAATCCACAAGTGCACGTGTGGTTATTTACTGCAAGAAGCACTTGTCTGCAATATTGTCGGGTCTGTGGTGGTGTTGTGGGTTAGGCACCGGCCGAGAGGTCGATGGTTCAAACCCACCATTGGCTCCATAAGGATTTAAAGGCTCTGAAACCCAAAGGGAATCCACTCAGAGTTGCTGTGGATTGTTTTGATTTGGGTTTGCAGTCTTCTCAGGTGATGTGCCAAGTTGTGGGTTCCGTTAACACAGGTGGGAGCTTTCCTTTGGCAGGAGTGAGAAGCAAGTTACAGGCCCTACACAACAGACAATACAAAACCCTATCTTTCAAAACAGCGAGTGGAATTTGTTGGGGCAGCTGAGTTTAATGATCTGAGGGGGCATGAAGATGTATGTGGTTATATTTCAGTGCTGTCTCTTCTTTGTTTTGACACGAGGGCACACGGCACCGTTGTGTGCAGTAACACACTCTTCCGAAGAAACCTGTAGGTGGGATGGTAGTTACCCTCTTTTTAGGGGCTCCAGACACATGACAACAGCGGGCACAATCGAACTAAACACTACACTGTCCCCATGCTGAGTGGCAGATCAGCGCTTTGTTGAACCATTGGGTTTTCCTTGCTGGTTTTCAGGAGTAGACCTCCAGGATTTCCTTCCTGGTCCAGCAGAGTCTGGAAACGCCACTGAAACAGCTTTAGCATCATAGCAACATAAGAGTTTCCCTGACTGACGGATGGTAGCGCTGCAAAGGGTATCGGCCAGTTATTAAACTCTGGCCTCATGCATGGATAGCTGGGATGCTGCCCCAGAATGTCTGCCGCCTTCTACAGTTACATTAGAGATGTTGTTAGGAGCCATCAAGTGAGTTCCAAATCGTAGTGGCCCTGTGTACAAGTGGATGAAACACTGCCTGGTCCTTGTGCCAATTCATCTCATTGAGGGCCGTTCTCGCCCTAACCCTCTACTTGCATAACTCCTGGTAACATGGCCAAAGTATGTGAGGGGAAATCTCACCATCCTGATTTCTAAGGACCATTCCGACTCTACTTCTCCAGGACAAATCACATCCGTTCATTCTGCAGTCCGTGATCTATTCTATTCTGTTCCAACAGCATCATACCAAGGCGTCCCTTTTTCTTTTTTTCTTTTTTATCCTTTACCTAGTTTCCCAGGCATAGGAAACAATTGAAAAAATGCTATGGCTTGAGTCAGGTGCACCTTAGTCCTCAAGGTTTTTCGGTACTTTAACGATATTTTTGGAGCAGATTTGTTAGTGAAATACACAGTTTGAGTACCTGACTGCTGCTTCTGAGTGTGAATGGTGGGTTCAAGGAAAATGAGATCCTTACAGCTTCAAGCTTTTCTCCATGCATCCTGGTATTCTTGGTCCAGCGGTGGGGATTTTTGTTTTCTTTCTTCTACGCTGAAATTCATACTGAAGGCTGCAGTCTGATCTTCATCAGCAAGTGCCTCAAGTCCTCTTGGCTTTTAGCAAACCAAGTTTGTCATCTGCATATCACCGGTTGTTGATGGGCTTTATCCTAATTCTGATGCACTGTTTTTCATATGGCCTAGCTTCTCAGGTTATTCATCAGCACACAGATGGAATACATATATGTATATGTATATTGACACACACTCTTTCTGATTTTAAACAACTTAGCATTCCCTTGTTCTTTTCTACTAAACTGGTTCCACATGAGTACAATGAAATATTCTGGAATTCACATTTTTCTCAATATTATTCACAGTTTAGTTTAACACTTTCTTGGTAGTCTCTTCTTCCAACCAACAGCCATCTAATGCCAGCAATGATGTCCTTTATTCCATGCGTTCTTTTCAATCCAGCTTGGATTTCTAGCCGATCCCTGTGAATGCATTTCTGCAACCAATTTTTATTCATCTTCAGCAAAATTTTACTTGCTGATATTAATGATACTGTTTCATAATTTCTGCATTCTGCTTGTCATCTTTCTTTGGAATGGGCACTGGTCTTAATCTCTTCTAGTCTGTTGACCAAGTAATTCTCTTCCAAATTTCTTGGTATAAATGAATGCGTGGTTCTAGAGCTGCATCAGTTTCTCAAACGTTTCGATTGATATTTTGTCAATTCCTAGAATCTTGTTTTTGATGAATGCTTTCATTGCAGCTGGACATCTTCCTTCAATAGTTTCCGTTCTGGATCACATTGTACCTATTGAAACGATTGCATGTCAAACCAGGTGTGTTGTTGTTGTTGTTGTTGTTGTTGTTTTCTTTTGGCTCAGTGACTGTGTATTCCTTCCATCTTCTTCGGATATTTCCTGCATTATTCAATATTTTGACCATAGAATCCTTCAGTATTTTAACTTGAGGCTTAGTTTGTTTTTCATTTTTCTTCCCAGTTCTTTCAGCTTGAGATATGCTAAGCCTGGGTTTCCCTTCTCATTTTCTAAATCCAAGTCTTTGCACATTTGATTATACTGCTTGATTTTCTCATCTGAAGCTGCCTTTGGAAGTTCTTGATTTAGGTCTTTTACTTCATCATTTCTTACATTCTCTTTAGCTACTTTACATGTGAGGCAAGTTGTAGAGTCTCTTCTGACATCCACTTTGTTTTGCTTTTTAAAAAAAATAAATAAATTATTTTATTGGTGGCTCCCACAACAATCCATACATCAACCACATCAAGCACATCCAGCCATGTTGCCACCATCACCTCCAAAACACTCTCCTTCCCCCTGAGCCCCTGGCATCAGCCCGGCCTCCCCACCTTCTCCACCGTCCCACCCCCACAAACCCTTGACAATCCATAGCCATTCTTATATTTTACACCATCCACTGTCTCCCCTCACCCACGCCTCAGCTGCTCATCCTTCTGGGGGTGGTGCATATTGTTCATTGTGATCAGTTCCCCCTTTCTCCTCCTCCTCCACCTTCCCCCTGACCTCCTGGTATCACTGCTCTCATGATTGGTCCTGAGGGGTTTATCTATCCTGGATGCTGTGTGCCAGTAGCTCTTACCTGAATCAGTGTCCATGCTCTGGTCTAGCCAGATTTGTAAGATAGAACTTGGGTCATGATA